GTAGAAGGCTACACTGTCGTAGAGAGTGGCGCCGAGTTCATCCAAGGCCTCGAACTGTTCTTCGGTATAGTGTACGTCATCGAGATCGTTACAGACCAGAGCTGCGCCCATGGTAAAGCGGATCAAAGCATCTGTGTCGCGCATGCGGAACCATTGTCGAGGCGACTTGGCGAGGGCGGTAACGTAACGTCTGAACAATAAGCCTTCCCGGCGTTTGCTTGCTTTGTCTGCTGTGATGAGAAGGAAGCAGCGAAACTCGCGAGCCATAGCCGCACTGTACCTAGACAGGATGACATCAGTATTAGTCTGTGAGGTTGGCGATGTAGCCAAAAGAGAACAGGTCTGCTTACTGTTCAGTTGTGCCCTGAAAGAGTTCGTCGAGAAGAGCGGTGAGGTTGTAGCCCAGAAGATTGTCGCCGAGTGACACCTGTACCAAGTCGCCTTTGCATTCCGCGACGATACCGATGACAATGACACGCATGAAGGCCACATAGCGCTTCCAATTGGTGTACTGAGGAATCACGCAACGTGCGTACTCCCATGCGCATGCATATATTTCTTCTTTGATGCGCTGTGGAAGGTCGAAGTCCTTGAGATCGTTGGCGATATCGGCGGGGTAGTCTATGGATTGGAGGATGAGTACGCTTCTTGCTCACTAGACATGAGGAGGGGAGACCTTACACCAGTTCTCTCGGATCGGGGGTACGGACTGTTCATTTGGCACAGTGAGGGATGGCTTGAAGAACGGCCTGATGAGTTTGAAGCCCTGATAAGATGTGAGTATAGCTGATATTGAATGTCGAGTGTCGAGCGGTGTTGAGTCAACCGCGCGGAGAAAACATACCGACAGAGTTTCGCGGTACTGCTTGCAAAGCCCCTCGAAGTAAGCATACAGCATACTGAACAACACGATTTTGAACATGCTGTTCAAAACGTGGGGAAGAGAATCGCGTGTAAAGAGATTTTGTCCGGCTGTGGTAGAGGGTTCAAGTACAAAACCCGTCGTGAGCAAGTTTCAAAACTTTCTTAGCGGTACAAACGAAAGATCCCACGGAAACCTTTCACTCATTTCACACTCGTACGACGCGTTCAGCTTATAGAATCCGTCGTTCCTGATAGATAACAGTCGGCTCACCCTGCACATCGACCCTGACTGTATTGGCAATTACGCTATAGTGGGGCTTGTAAGTGGGTGATGAGCTCTTTCCCGCACACCGTGAAACGGAGCAAACATACACACCTGCAGCAGCAGCAGCGCGTCATTGGCGAGACGGTCTGATAACATATCGATCGCGTTTGAAAATAACGCCCAGTGTTGGAAGATGCAAGGAAAATAACGATAATAGAGGCCCAGCACAGCGACGTCGCTCTAGCCCTTGCATAGTCTCCCAACTACCTAAGTACACTAAGCCCTATCCATATGATGGCAGCAAACTTGAATCATGTTGCACTTAACTATGTGTATACTCCAAATGTCCATTCGTATGGGGTTCGATGAACATGTGACTTTTCGCCCGGGCGATGGCTATCGCGTTCGAGAACGGGGACTGCTGACTCCATGACGCCAGATCGAAGTTTGATACGATGCCGTCTTCCGAGCTCTTCTCGCCGCAGAGGTTCGCGATCCGGCCGCCGTCTAGAATGAAATTCGAATAAAATCGTGGAGTACATAATTGCCATTGTCATGCAATGAGCCTCACATGGCGGATATCTCGGCAATGTGTGTATGTACACCAGGAGGTCTACCATTCAAGTGCTGGCAGTCTATGGTAGTTTGAATCTCGTCTTCGCGCCCGTAGTTCGGTGAATGTCGGAAGACTTGTTATACTTGAAATGCCACCCCTTCTCTCTTAACCATCGCCTTTCCACCACTTGCGAACCCCGTGCCTTCACTCCTTATCTCCACGAGTCCAGGCTTGGGCGCCTTCTCCTTCTCGCTGTCCTTTTTCTTCTTCTTGCCTTCCTTGGCGTCTGGGGTTGTCGTAAGATCCGCATCGCAGACATAGCAATGAACTGTCTCTGGCTCCGGTCCTTGATCATGTGCATCTCGCTGATGTCGATGTTCTGGCCGGAGAAACTTATCAACGCATGGTTTGCATAGGACGTGACCACATGGTATAGCGAGCATGGCTTTCGTACTGTTCGAGAGTGCTTTCTGACAGCTGGGGCATGTGCGAGCCGACTTTCCTGTCTCGGACGACTTTTCTTCGTGGAAGTTGACGCTCGTTAAGCTCTTCAGGGACAGGCTGTGCGGTTGGTCTGGATGGCTCGAGGGGCATACGGGCGTTTGTTTCGCCTTTTCTGCGCTTTTGTGGTGTTGGTCGGGTGTCTCGCCGGGAACCCAAAAGCTGGGGAGATGACCTTTGGCTGCTTTGCGCTCTGCGTCGAATGTGCGTTTTGCTTTGCTCTGCTCTTCGTGTGCGATGCGCTTTAGTTCCTCTTGGTCAATTTCGAACTTGCGTTTCGTGCCTCTGGCCTCTCCAGCCTTGGCATCCTGCTCTTCTTCGACCATGATCTTGCTGCCTTGCCTTCCAACGACCCGTGCTGATGCACCTGCTTTGACCGAAAGTCCCATCTGAACAGCTTCGAATTCCTCGACTGCCAGTAGCCGCGCTTCCTCCTGTTCTCGCAGCTTTTGATCCTCGTCCTCCAACTTTTGGCGCTCGTTGAGCTTCTCTAGTCGCTTCATTTCCTTACGTTGTGCCAAAAGATTGGTCATGGCGCACTCGCGGCAGAACAGATCGCCTTGTGAACAGCACACTGGGTCTACTGAAGGAAGGAGACATAGTTGGCAGGAGCCAAAAGGTAGAAAAGAGTCACGGGTCAGACGTGTAGCCTGCGAGCCCCATCGATCTTTGAGGGCGTTCCGCTCGTACGAGGTGAAAATGGTCTTTGGAGGCGGCATGTTGGGCTATGCTGCGCATTCAAGATTCGCAAATCGAGACGCGACTTTTCGTGATGGGCGCAGTAGGTACACCAATCCGGGTAACAGTGCCAAGCGTAGCTATGGGATCTCGTGTACAAGCTCTGAAGATGACGCACAAGACCTGAAAGTCCAAGTCTAGTCTTGTAAATTGTCGAACTCTTGCTGGGGTGATGGAAAAAGGCGTGTTGAAGCGGAAGAGCCAGCCACTCGGCGCACGTGTGTAGGCCGCAATCGCGCTAGTCACCGTCGCCAAATTCCTGGGGCAGTGACGTTGGTGGGCCGCGGCATTGACCTGTCAAGCGCGAAATCTTCACATGTCGCCCTCAACCCCACGCCTACACCAATGCGACCAGAGGAGCAGCCGGAGGCCCCCAGCGGGCCATGGCGCGCCGCGTCGGCCTTCACCATGAGCGCTGTTGGGCTCTTGTGCAAAGGATTCCTGAACGGACTGAGCAAGGTCGAGACGCATGGAATGGAGGGCTTCCTGAAGCTATTGGATGAAAGAGAGGATCCAGCGAGTAGACAGCGGGGCCTCATAACTGGTAAGTGGTTGGACTGTCAAGAACCCGGGACATTCTCAGTACTGACGAGCGTGCAGTCTCAAACCATATCTCCGTGTACGTACGTTTGCCATAATATCCGAATTGTCAGGGATGGACTGCGCTCACACGATTTGTACAGTATGGATGATCCCATACTATGGGGTATACTGCCACTCGCCTACATATTCACCCCGGATAATTTGCGCTGGGGATTAGGCAGTTATGATCTATGCTTCACCAACAAGTATGTCACCTCTGAGATGCACAGAAAGCTCCGCTAACGCCCTGGCAGAGGACTGTCGACATTCTTTACCTTTGGACAGGTCCTACCCACACATCGTTCAGCGCATTCCCAATTCGGCGGCCTATTCCAACCCACCATAACGCAAGCGATCCGTCTCCTCTCGCGCGGCCCGTTCCACGAGCAAGAACCACCAGAAAAGCCAACCACATCGCTCAAGAGCCCAGACCTCATCGATCCTTTTACCGACGGCCACCTCACATTCTCTACAAACGGACAAGATACGTTTCCTGCGCCCTCGGCATACTTGAATCGGCGGCATGCGTGGGTGCACATCTTCCCTGAAGGCATGATACACCAGACGGAAGACAGGATCATGCGCTACTTCAAGTGGGGAGTGTCACGATTGGTACTTGAGAGTGAGCCGATGCCAGACATCGTTCCCATCTTTATTGAAGGCTTCGACAATATCATGCACGAGACACGCACCTTTCCGCGCTTCATACCACGGCCGTTCCAGAACGTCAGGGTGACATTTGGCGAGAAGCTGGATGCTGAAGAGGTGTTCGGCGACTTGCGCGCACGCTGGAAACAGATGCGTGCAAACGAGGAGAGGAAGGGAGGAAAACTGCAAGTCGGTGTTCTCAATGACACGCTGAAGTATTCCGACGAGGCCGTCAGCATACGCAAAGAGTGCACGCGGCGGATACGGCAGGCTGTCCTTGACGTTAGGCGGCAGCGAGGCTACCCTGAAGATGACCCGAAGAACGGCCTCGCAGAGACATGGCTGAGAGAAGGCCCGGGTAGAGAGGGGCGCAAGAGGGATGGCAGCATCACGAAAGATACATGAGGCGTGTGAGGTGTATGGTATGTGTATTGCGTATATGCGACGCCCAGCATCGGCTTGCGAAGCCAGGGGACGCGACAGACTAGCCGAAGCATGGTCAGGTCAAGACGCCTCGTCAACAAAGAAGCGCGGCAGAGTGTCAGATTAGATCAAGTAATTACACCATCAGCGACTCCTGCGCCGGCGCGCCGATCAACCACGGCCTCAGGCGACTGGGGCCGGGTTTCGTCGTTGCGAACCGGAGCAGGCACCACGATGCTGTTTGTACAAGGCGGAGATGTCTCTGGCGTGCTCGTGTCGTCATCCACTGCTGGCGACGCGCATCCACCGCCCCTGGAACGGAACGATGGACGTGACGAGGCTGGAGAGAGAAGCTTGGAGGGTCGCATCCAGACGTGTGGTTTTGTCGCGGAGGCGCCATGAGCACGGGCCCCACGCCAGCCAATGGACGGCAGATGGGCTCCACCGTCGCCAGATTTATCTTGCTCGTACTACGCCGAGCAGCCTACTCACCCCCAGCATACAGAACACAGCGGCCCCCTCGACAACGTCGCGCCGCCCTTCCCTCCGCCCAAAACCGATCCGCCGCTGCAGAGCGACCCTGCGCCACCGCCTCGTATGCCTCGCGGCGTCAAGAAGGAGGAGAGCATGCAGGATGCAGACTACTTGCCCGACGCGTCAGTGCCCGCCATGCCAGACGCGAGCAATGGCGTAGGCGGGGCAGACACGCCCAACACGGACAACATCACCATCAAGAACCACTTCCCCGTCGCGCGCATAAAGCGCATCATGCAGGCCGACGACGATGTCGGCAAGGTCGCCCAGGTCACGCCCGTCGTTGTTTGTACGTACCGCCAGCGCGAAACTCTCTCCAACATGCCTGACTCTCCACAGCGAAAGCGCTCGAGCTCTTCATGATATCCCTCGTCACCAAAGCCGCCGCCGAAGCCAAAGCGCGCAACTCCAAGCGTGTCGGCTCCATCCACCTCAAGCAAGCCATCACCAAGACCGACCGCTTCGACTTCCTCAACGAGATCGTGTCCAAGGTTGCCGATGCGCCAGAGAAGAGTGAGGGCGACATGGACGTAGATGGCAAAAAGAAGAAAACTTCAAGCCGGAAAAAGAAGAAGGCAGAGAGTGATGACGACTTTTGAGTCTGAGCGCGCCGGTAGTGACGGACCTCGAGGCCTTCTCCATATTAGGAGAAGCTCATGTCGCCAGATATCCACCTTCTGGCATTCGAACTTGGCCATGATCGGATCTACGGTTGCCGTCTCTGATGGATGAGCGCCATCATTTTCTTTCTGCGGCTGTATGTTTGGTTGACTCCATTTCACAGCCGGGTACGACATTTAAAGACGACCCTTCAGGTTGTCAGGCGTTAACTATCTCCTGGGCATTGCATGGGCGGCGTTTTTTGTTGTTGCATGGGCCACGATACCAATGAATACAGATGCATGATTCTTCTCACTCGCTTCTTGTTCCCCCATCTCTGTCGCTAACGGAACAATTGTGCCCGCGGCCCGAATAGCGCGCAGTAACGTCACGATTGCAGTTTACACGGTTTTGCAGCCGATGGGTAAAAGGCGAAGCAGGAAATGCGCCCACCAACCAGGTTTCCTCCGCCCGCCAATTTACCCGTCCATCTCCGCAGATCCCCACATGCTAACGGCACCCCAGATACTCGATTAGGACAGCCAGTAGATCGGTTCCTGCGCCATACCGAATCTACGCTCGTGTTCCTGCTTAGCTTCACTTCTTTCCCTACCTCCGTGCCTCCGCAATTTGGGGCCCGTGGTATTAATCATGCAGGAGCCCCAGTGCTTTCCCTCTGCAGGATCATCATTCTCTGAGCCTTCAATTGAGAATTGAACCAGCATGATCTTCTCCAGGCTAGCAGTGCTCCTCGTGGGCGTTGCAGTGTCCGTTCAAGGCCATGCCATTGAGGTTGAGAAGAGGGCTTCCGGCAAACACACAACTCGACCTAACCCTTCCAATGGCCACTGGGTCGACGCGTGGGCATCAATGCCACAGCTCACCGAGCCTGCGAACCTTCCTCCTGCTCCATTCGTACGTTCACTTATCAAATCTTCACCCAGTCTGTACTCACACATCACATAGAACCAGACGGGCGCAGTCTTCGTGAACTCGACAGTTCGACAGACTCTGTACATGACCACTTCGGCCAAGCAAATCCGTCTCAAATTCTCCAACGTTTTTGGCGGTTCCAATCTTCCCATCACCGCTGTGACCGTCGCGCTTCCGTTGAACCAGACCGCCGGCATCCACCAGATCCAACCCAAGACCGTTCAGAAAGTAACATTTGGAGGCAAGGATGGTATTAGCGTGCCAAATGGCGCCCTCGCAGTGTCCGACCCTATCAACTTCGAAATCAAGGCGCAGCAGATCATCACCATCACTATGTACCTTGCAAGCGGACAAACCACAAACAGCATCACCAGTCACCCCGGCTCCAGAACAACCAGTTGGTTCCAGTTCGGTAACGCAGTCTCTTCGGCTAGCCTGGACATTAGCAACTCTACTACACAATCCGTAGCGCATTGGTACTTTCTCTCCTCCATCGAAGCTTGGGTCCAGCCACGCGTCGGCTCCCTCCTCATCGTCGGCGACTCGATCACCGACGGCCGTGGATCTACAACCAACCAGAACAACAGATGGCCCGATCTCCTCCTCGCACGTCTCCAGAAAAATCCTTCCACCAAACACATCTCGGCCGGTAACTTGGCTGCAGGCGGAAACCGCATTCTAGCCGACGGCCTCGGTCCCAACGCTTTCGGTCGCATCGACCGCGACGTTCTGGCCCATCCGGGTGTCAAATACGCCATGATCTTCGAAGGAGTAAACGACATTGGAACCGCAGCAACAACGCCTGAAGCACAAGAACAAGTCTACCAAGGCCTGACTCAAGCATACGAACAAATGGTGACCCTCATCCACGCCCACGGCATCCCCGTCTTCGGCGCCACCATCACACCGTTCAGCGCACCAGCCAATTTCACCCAGCAACCCTACTCCGATCCCGAGCGTGAGAAGACACGCCAGCGCATCAACACATTCATCCGCACGTCGGGTGTTTTCGACGCCGTTGTGGATTTCGACCAGTTCCTTGCCGACCCCAACATACCCAGTCAGCTCAACCCGTTGTATGATTCGGGTGATTATCTTCATCCTGGTCCTGCTGGGTACCAATACATTGCGGATAAGTTCCCCATTCAGATCTTTAATATGTGGGCGAATGGTGCGGATGAGTTTAGTTGGGGTATGTAGGGCACTGGAGAAGGCCATGTGGCAGTAGTTGAACCTTTTGGAAATGTATATAATATAATGGGCAAGTTGACATGTCACTCTTGACGTTATTGCTTCTCGGAGACATGGTTTCGTGCCATGCATGTTTTGATGTATAAGATACAACATGTGCGTGCGTAGGAGAAAGAATGATCGCAGGGCTAAACTTTAATAGTCAAGGTCCGTTGTGGAGAACCTGGGAAAGCTCATCGTTTCCAAGCCTTTTCTCAATCTCAAATTCTCACATAAACTCGCTGCTCTTGGTGTGTATATGTTCCACAAGGTCTCACCATTATAAGTCTTAAACGTGATGCGTAGTCTCGAGTATGGCTTTGGAAACATCATCAGAGCTGCCCCAGACGAGAGTTTGACTTTATATATACATCAGCAGGATATCTATGTGTTTGAGGTATCTTCCCTTGAACATGACCAAAGTTGCAATCGCAAATCAAACGCCATTTTGAAACCACCCACGCTTGAAAATCCATGTCGGCGAAAACGCCATCACATCCCTCCCAAATTGCATATCAAGAAGACAAAAGCCACGCAGATCGTAATCCAGTTCTACAGTATCATCCTCATACGATGCCTTGCGAGAACCTCTCGACACCATTCTTGATTTCCCTTACGATCTCCACTGCCTCGTTGGTACTCTGAGCTTCAAAATCATATCGCTTGGTCTCGCGCTCCTTGAAGACGATGACCCGAAACATCTTGGGATGTTTCTTGCTGACCTTGCTACCGACCACACTGCTGAAATGCACAGTGGTCGTCTTGCCCTGGCCTTCAACACCAAAGCCACCTCGCGCTCCTGTCTTGGACTCTCCGGGCATGATATGAATGTACTCGTTATCGAGAGCAATGATGCGAGATGTAGAAGAGGCAAAGGACATGGGCTGTTTGCGAAGGACGGCATAGCGGCGGTAGTAGTTCGTCGCTGTGAGAGCCAGAGCACCCGAGTCGCCGTTCCTGGCGAGTGGATGGATGAGACCTTGGCCAGAGACAGCGGCGTTGGTTCGGTCGCCCTTCTTTGTCTTCTTTGGCGCGCCACCGGTACTGATGATGAGTGGTGCATTGGGTGATGACGACCCTGGCGACCCCGAAAGTCCGTAGACACCATCACCCACGAAACGGCGACGCACGAGATCCAGATCCATCCGTGTGTCTAGAGCCTCTACAGTGCGGTCAGGTGGCGCTACCGTAGTGCTGCCGCTAACTTTGAGGATATACAAAGCTTTCTCTAAGCGCAAGTCGTGGCATACTTGATCGAAGATATCAGCAATGTAAGTGTCAGTGGTGCAGGGTATGTTGAAGTGTTTTGTGTTGAAATTCTCGTCGGTGAAGTGGACATTGACTGTCTTGGGGGCTCCAGTGCGGCTAGCAGCATGTGTTTGTGGGACTTTTGGTACGTCGGCAAGATTACTGGTATCTTTGCGCGTCGCAGTGGGGGCAAACGAAGGGCCGGTGATGGGATTCCTGAAGCTCTTCGCGCGACTTGGAAGAGGCTTGAGGGGCTTCTTCTCTTCTTTTTCGTCGGGGCCATCGGTTTGCGACGCGACTGCACTTGCTGCCTCTTGACTGTAAATTGGGGTGAGCTTCTCGTTCTCGCCAAACTCTCGTTGGGATGCCTCAACAAGTGCGAACTCGTCCCATGGCTTATCTCGTGCTCGAGGTCGCATACCACGGGCGTTGTTCGAAGCGAAGTCTTTCAACGGCTTGTTCCTGGTCAAAGGTGGGAACTCGTCGTCAACCTCACCGTCATCGTACATGCGCATAACCCAGCGGTTGACATTCATCTGTTCGGGCGATAGCGGCGGTTCCAGCTTCTCTTCCTGATATCGATGTAGTGCATATCCGATTGCTTCCGCGACAGTAGGACCCTCGCCTTTGTCACTGAACTTCCGGATCAGCAGCTCGACGGGCTTTGAAGGTTTCGAAGAGAATGGACAGTAAAGTTTGATATATAAAGGGTTCTGCTGAGCTTCGCTAGCAGCGTTCCACATGGCAAAGCGCTGTAGCGGATTCGATGGCTTCTGCTCCTTGGCTCGTAGGGCCTGGGTCAACGCGCTCACTGGCAGTACGAAACTGATCGGTCGCGGCGGAGGCAGTGCTTGTAATGTTGGTGCAATTGGCTCCTTCTTCTTCTTCGGTGACATGTTTTGGAAAGGCATCAAGCCGGGCATAGTGGGAAGGTCGCCACCTGCGGGAGAGGAGTCCAGCGGATCACCTCCTGCACCGATCAGAGACGCGCTATCGTCAGAGCCAGAGAATTCGGATGTGAGGGAGTCATCTGATTCATCTCCTTCGTCCAGAGCTTCCAGGCGTGCGCGTGCGCCGCCAGCCTCCCCTGAGTCTTCTTCAATGCGCTTGGAAAGCATTTGGCTTGCACCTGCGGCTTTGCGCGGATTGACTCTTCTCTTTCTGAATGACGAATTGTCAAACTCGTTCTCCGAAGACATCTCACTGCTAGTTATGGTGTCCCTTCTTGGTCGGGTTTTGCCCACATCTACGGTGCCCAATGATCCTCTTCGCAATACGTCGTCCGGCGGCCGTGATGGAGACGTGATCATGAGTGAAGGGCCTTCTCCAGCTTCTGCCAGCTCATTGCGTAGGGCTGATCCAGGCATGGGCGACGATCCTGAGCGCGTCCGTAGCGGCATCTTGGTGAACTTGATCTGGTTGGCTGGTCTAGCAATCCGTCAGTTCAGTCTGTGGAGCGCATCGTGATCAGCTACCTCTGTGCATCGTCATCGTCGTCGCTCTCGTCGCTCAAGTCACTGCTATCATCTTCTTCCAGCTGTTCTTTCCTTCGCCTCCGTTTCGCATTGAGTGTAGGTCCGACCGTGTCGTTGCTTGCCCCTCCAGTGACCATGCCACCCTCGTCGTCATCTTCGCCAAAGCCCTCTGGCGACTTCAGGCCAGCTGACCGCGGGGCCTGGAAGTATTCCGAAGTGATCGCGGTGGGTATGGGTGGGGAGTAGGTGCGCTTGATGTCGGCGGCATTGGGAACCCAGCCTGCGGCGCGAAATGCGGGGTTGTTCAGGACGCTCGAGTCTACATTGATCAACCGTTCGCCTACGCCGTCTTTAATCGAGGAGAGGTACGCGGTTCGAAGCTGATATAGCACAAAGCTGCCCAAGTTAGCTGCGGCGTGCGCCACGGGGACCAGGTGGGCTTACTCTTCGTTCTGAAGGAGCGACATAGTGGGAAGGTCAAGGTATCATAGTCTCGTAACAGAAGGGTATGCTCAGACCAGCTGAAAGGGTATCATGAAGCCATACAGCGAGGCCGCAGTGACGCATGTGGGGATGTGAATGCGTGCCCTGGACCCTGGCTTGGCATCGGCCCTTGTCCAGGCGCGCGTGCAGTGAGATCATTGTCAACTTTGCGACTTCTTGCGCCCAACACAAACCTCTTGACGACCGCGCCACAGCCACGATGAATCTACTCGCCGGCTATTCCGATTCAGAATCCGATGGCGAAGCGCCGTCCGCGCCGAAAATAGTGGCGAAACCCACTGCCAAACCCGCCTTCCAAAAAGTCGTCGATCGCTCCAACCCAGGACGGATCAAGGTCAACCTCCCAGGCGCGTCGCAGTCGCGATCGGAGAAAGACGATATCCAAGATGATGCGCCACCGTCGAAGAAGCCGCGCCTGGGCGGGGGCTCGTCATTTGGTGGCTTCAACGCAATGCTACCCGCGCCAAAGAAACCAAATGTAAACGCCATCACAGCATCCGAGGGTTCAAAGACGGGAAGCAGAGGACTGGGGAAAGGACTCGCATCTGGAATAAATCTAAAGACTGGCGCGGAGCCCGCGTTCAAGAGGGAGTCAAAAGTGGAGGCTGAGGAGTATGACGAGACTGGCAACCCGATAAAGAAGGAACCTATGAAGAGGGAAGACTTTCGCGCAATGCTCAACTTGCCAACACCCAAATCCGAGACAAAGACAGAAAACAAGCCTCAGATAACGGAACCTGAGCCACAGCAGGTATCTAAGCCAGCGACGCCACGCTTTGTACCTATGTCTGTCGGCAAAGGAAAGAAAAAGAAACCCACAGCACCTCGACCAGCAGCCGCAACGAGCGAGACGATCACCGCGACGAACACAAGAACATCTACGCCGCAATCGCAACAACCACCTCCTGAAACCAAGCCGCGCAAACCCAAGGTCTCTCTCTTCAGCGTCTCCAATGAAGCAGAAAGCATGCCTAAAGAGACGTCAGATGTGAACTATCAGCCACTACTCTACGGTGTGGAAGAAGGAGGGGAAGTCGCCCCGACAGAGGGCGTCTATGACATGCCCCCGGCAAATCAGTATACACAGTACCCTCCTCCCTCAACCGGTGGACAGGATCCGAATAACCTTACCAATATTGCTTCCGAGTTAAACCTGTCAGAAGCAGAGCGCCGACAACTTTTCGGCAAGAAAGGACGCGGTGGTCCAGACTTCTCTGGTGCCAAAATCCAGGATTTCAACACAGATATGGAGTACGCGCATAATGAGAAGCTGCGACAACAGGGCGAATCAGTACAGCATAATCCGCTCAAATCTATATCTGGAACTGGAAAGAACAGTCTTCGCAGCCTGGTCAACGTCGCGACGACTCAGAAAGATGCACTGGAGGACCATTTTGCTGCCGGTGCTCGCAACAAGAGAGAAGCAGGCAATCGATACGGCTGGTAATATTGTGGGGTCTATACATCTTTCTTGGGGAATAAGGCATAAGCACAATATGATTTATTTGGCTTCCCAGAGCCGATGGCGCTGCCATCCAGTCCTAGGTACAACTTTCTCTTCTGCTACTGTATCTGGTGAACCGAATGACAAGGTATCCACACTTCCCTGCATTACCTCTTTCTTGCACCCTCTTTTCGTGCGCATCTCAACATCCTCGGTACCTAAGCCTACGCTGTATTTTTGGACTATACTATAGTATTAGTGGTCCTCGCCGATCGCCGCAGTCCTACCGTTACTCTCGGTCACATGCGCCAAACGCAAGACTAGACGCGTCAGCGAACAATGGTACCTTGCTTCCATCTTGGAAATCGGACAAGCGACATCCCCGTTGTGACCGAATTCCTAACGGAAATCGCCAACACTTCCTGAATTGAGCAGGTCAACTTCACCGCCATTATGATGGCTTTTCGCATGTTTGAAGCCGTCGAAAGACAGGCACCTTCCTTTTTCATCGACTGCAGAATGGTAGAGTGATATGACTCCGACCTCCTGATCGAACGCATTGGATCACTTCTGGTGCAATTCGCCGAGGGCGGCGTGCTATCGAACGGGCATGAAGGCTCACGGGATGATGGAGGTTTGTGAATTACAGCCGATGGAATTCGATTTTCTGAGTGGCATAGGTGAGATACATGAGGTGGATGATGGGGCGTCGAGGTATTGAGTGTTGCTTTGGTGTTTAGTGCACTATGCCGGTGCGTCCTGACCTCCTTGCTCCTAGGTGTTGCTGGTGGATGGGTTTAAGAGGTTACGATGACTTCAGACTACCTGATTAGAATCACACAGGTTAATGTATATTGGGTATCACGACGCTACTTTACTTCCCAGCCGCAGATTTAGCAGCAGCCTCCTTCTCCCTCTTCCTCTGCAGATACCTCTCCTTGGCACTACTGATGTCCTTCTCTGTCTTCTGACTCTTCCGTGCATGCTCCAGTTTCGCCTGTTCCTCAGCTTCTTCATCTGCTTTCCGCTTGTTTGCCGCTTCAATCTGCTCGGCTACCATCTGCGTCTGGCGTTCGCGTTGTGCATTCTTGCCGAGTTTGGGTTTCGTCCATGCTGATTGCGTCTGGTTTGCAGCAGTAGTGGAGGCAGAGGCAGATGAAGCGGGCTTGGGTTTCGCGATGATGTTGAGGCCTGCCGAGAGGAGCTGGCGTTTGTCCGCGATCTGCCCATCCTCGTTGAGAATGACGTTTTTACCCTGTTTACGTAGCTCTTCGACAATCTCAGCGTCTGTCTTTTCCCTCTCTACCTCGTCAACAACGGGCTTCACACCATCCTTCAGTGCTTGCGCCGCTGCCTCCATAGCCTCCTGATGCCGTCGTTCCTGTTCCGCGAGCATCTGTTTGTGGAAGCCCTGCATACCGAACTTTTTCTTTTTCTCTTCCTCCGCTTCTTGCCTCTTCTTCTCTTCTTCTTCGGCCTTTCGCGTCTCTTCTTGTTGGGCTTTGTATGCGCCGGTCACAAACTTCTCCTTGTCCGCAAACTCGTCGCCTTCGGCTTCACGTTCGCGCTGGAGTAATTTGTCGCGTGCCCGTAGTTGGTCCTTCTTGCGTTGTTCGGCAGATTCGAAGAGCGCATCCATGTACTTGGGTTTCCGTTCCGCGGCGCTGTCGCGTTCAGCAGCTTTTTTGGCGGCGCTGACCGCGTGGAGCGCGTCGTATGCAGCGTCATAGTCGTATATGGTGGCATCGGCTTCTAAAGCTTCCTGTGCGCGTTTCTCGGCTTCTGCAGCGCTGGCGGAGTACGCGATGGCGGTGGGATCATCTTCTTTCGGCTTAGGTTTCTTGGACGGAGGAGCTGGAGGCTGGCCTTTCTTTGGTTTTGAGGGCGCTGGTTTCGAGGGTTCTGATGAGGTAGCGGCCAGAGTGTCTTCGAAGTTCAGCTCGCCGATTTCCTGGGCGCCGTCCGCCGCTTTGGATTTGCCTTTCGCATCTTCCTCCTCTTCGTCGAACAGCGGCTTCTTCTTCTTCCCCAGAGAAGGCTTGGAGGCCGATTTCGCGAGTGGATTCGCGCCCTTGTTCTTCACATTGAGTCCGAATTTGAATGACATGTTGATGCTGTGTTGGGATGGTGTCAGAGTCGCGACCGCGAATTGGGCTGTCGCATGCCAAGGCGCGCGCGACCAGTGAAATCATCGACACCTCCGCGCCTTCTCCGCAATTCACGTCCCTTGGTTCGCAATGACTGCAGATACGTCAACCCGCACACCTTGTACAAATATCACTCATGCATGAATGTCGATTAAACCACCATAGTCCTCATCATGGAGGAGCAGGCTAGCGATCCACCGGCGGAGAGCCTCTACACAACGGCCAAAGCGTCACGATTCCACTTCAAGTCGAGGTCCAAACATCGCTCAAAGCGTCACAAAAGCGAAAGCAAGGACGAAGATACCGATGACCATACTTCCAAGAGACACAGGTCGGATCGGACCAGCGAAGAACGGCGCAGCCACCGCGACTCGAGGCGCAAACATAAGCACAAGCATCGCTCTTCCGACCAAGATCGTCACCCGACATCCACACGAGACGGCGCCTACTACGACCCTGATTACCGTCACCGCGAATCATTATACGACAACTTAGAGGATCTAGGTACAGGCTCCCCAGGCCCAGCTCCCGATGACGCTTTCCGCGAGTCGCTGTTCGATGCGCTTGCCGACGATGAAGGTGCGGCGTACTGGGAAGGTGTATATGGCCAACCTGTACACATATATCCCGACACAAAACCAGGCCCCGATGGAAAGCTGGAGCGTATGACGGAAGAGGAGTATGCGGACTTTGTGCGTACGAAGATGTGGGAGAAGAGCCACCAGCACATTGTGGAAGAACGCGAGGCGAAAGAACGGGCGCGTCAAAAACGAAAAGCGCAACGCAGTCAGCTTGATGAGGAACTCGAGCGGGAGGAAGCAGAAAGAGAGAGCATGCGACGCCGCATGGAAGAGAGCCTGCGTCGGGGCGAGGAGCGGAAGAAAGCGAAGGAAGCAGAGGCTGCATGGGAAAGTTACACGGCCAAATGGGACAGTCTGAAGAACGCCCAAGGTCTGGACAAGGAGACAGATGCGAAGGTCCGCGACATGATCCCATGGCCTGTAGTGTCTGGGAGAGCGAATCACGTCTCCAAGGAGGAAATAGAGCGCTTTTTCCGGACTACAAAGACGTGGAAAGAGGACCCTGCGTCACTACTGAAGGCAGAGCGCGTGCGCTGGCATCCCGACAAGATGCAGCAGCGATTTGGACAGCACATTGACTCCGAGACTATGAAGTTGATCACGGCGGTTTTCCAGGTTATCGATCGACTGTGGAATGACCGGCGTTGATCTGGATGCGGACCTCAACAGCCGACATCTTGCTTCGTCACACTTTCTTCATTCCGAGATACCCAAAGATGCATATTGTGTAGTCCCATCTGTCAGCCGGCATACCCATCAATGAATATCGGTCTCGGCACTAGATTAATATCAATCGTACTACATCGTTGCCTCACTTCTTGGCATCATGTCACCGTACTTTCAAATTGTTAATCTCCGGCTCCCAAGAATCTTGGAAAGATCTTGGCGCAATGTATCCACGACGAAGCAACCGGGCTGAGACAGTTAAGCATGACGATCTTCGCTACATATGCGCCGACAGTGCTAAGTGACCGGCTAAATGCTTGGTCCTAGACCAAATGCTTTTGCCAACACCATCGGTGAATATATCACCTATGGTCATCTGAGCATGTCGCATGCCCAGCTGGATAAAATGCAAATAAGTTGATGATGCGGAAATAAAGTGGGTTGACTGCATGCATCGTGGGTTGGCGCGGTGCTTGACTGAGCTTAATCAAGATGCGAAAGCTTGTGCAAATCAACATGCACACATTCAGGTACAGCAATGCGACGATAAGATGGTTTTCGAAGTCACGAAGGATCAATCCAGAACGCAGCGGGTCAACATGTTTCTCGACTGGCCAAGACGTTTTCCGCTCCACTCTTGTCGCACCACAGTATATCGGGCCTATAGCATGACAGGTCCACACAGAACGCATCTCCAGCGGAAATGAATGTTTCGAGTTTCAAAACTACGCCTCTACAGCTGTCCAACCATTACGTTCAGACCCTGAATACCCGGTGGTTCGATCTTGTTTTTAGGACACGGCTCCACACACGGCGACGGGACGTAGACATGCTCCCATGCACTCCACAGTTACTGCGGCTGGTATACGCCAGGTGCGCCTGCCCGGCAGGTGCCCTCCAATTTGTAAGGCTCCCTCGATCCGCAGCCGCAGTTCACCGGCGGTCCCTGGTAATGATCAGCACGGTACAACGCATCCACTGGTATATAAGAGTCCCAACTGTCCTTGAAAGAAGGACACCAAGCATCTCCAACTTGAATCAACACAATGGTTGCCTTCTCTTCTATCATTCTCGCTCTCGGTAGCGCCACTGCGGCTCTCGCTTCGCCCCTCGGCCTCATCCTCGATGCTCGTGCTCAGGAAGAGTCTGCCAACTTGACTGCTCGCGCCACCCAGCCAGGCGAGGGCACCAACAACGGCTACTTCTACTCATTCTGGACCGACAACCAAGGCCAGGTCACCTACAACAACGGCGCTGCCGGAAAGTACGATGTCCAGTGGTCCAACGTTGGTAACTTCGTTGCTGGCAAGGGATGGTAAGACACCTCAGAACCCACGCTCTCCACTCTGCTAACTCTCATTAGGAACCCCGGCTCGCCTGACAAGGTGGTCAAGTACTCTGGTACCTGGAACGCTGCCAACGTAAACTCCTACGTCTCTCTTTACGGATGGACTCGCAACCCGCTCGTCGAGTACTACATCGTCGAGACCTACGGCTCTTACAACCCCTCTTCTGCTGCTCAGAAGAAGGGTTCCGTCACCTCTGACGGTGGCACATACGACATCCTCCAGACCACCCGCACCAACCAGCCTTCCATTGACGGCACTGC